CCCTCTCTCCCCCCCTTCTCTCTCTCTCCCTCTCTCTCTCCTTTTGCCCACTCTGGGGACACTGATATGCATCACACCCAAGCTCTAACCACCAGCTTTTGACACAGGCAGATGACAGCCACAGCCTGAGGATGTGGGAGAAAAAGCAAGCTCAGGATGACATTTAGCAACTATTATTTTGGTTAAACACAGAAATAGAATGCAGAGCCTCCTGCCAGCTAAGGCAAGCCCTTGACCACCTAACTACATCCTCAACTCTCCTATACTTTTTGAGACAAGGTTTCATTAACTGCCCAGGCGGTTGTTGAATTCACAGCAGTCCTACTATGTCAGCCTCTCAAGTATAGGATTATAAACATTCATTAGCACAGGAATGATACTATCCAGGTGGAGGTGCCTAAAGACAGATGCATGGAAAGGGTATGGAAGGGGGAGATTTGACTCTGGAATGTGGAATGTGGGAGTGGTGGGAATTTATGACAGAGAAGCAGATAGGAACTAGGACCTCTATTGCCACAAACAACTTACTCCTGAGGATGGTGGCAAATGGAGCAATAGCTGGGAGCTGGGAGAAGTGTCCCCAATGTGAGACAGGTCTCCCTCCAGTGACCTGGAGGTGAAGTTGGAAGGTTGGAGAGCAGCTAGGAAGGGGCAGGGCTTGGGGACAAAGGCACAAAGGAAGCAAGGAAACCACCAGTGGCTCTGGTCTGACAAGGTGAGTCCGCAGAGCTGTAACAGGTTGATGGAAGCCTGTGATCTTGGTGGCCATAGAGGAGAGCCAGGACCAGGTGAGGTTCCTATCTGGGGATCAGATGAGGAACCTACGGCCAGAAGCGGCATTTTGATTACTTTCTCAGATGGCAGAGTCACTGTCCTTCAGGAGACGAAGCTCTCCTGGAGTGAAGCATGTGATGGCACCCAGAGGAGATCAGCATTTACCAGAAGAGATCAGCATTTACCAGGGGAGTGGAGAAGGCTGAGCCCAGCCATCATGGGAGAAGAAAGGTCACAAACAGAGAACTGGGAACCAGTTATGAAGTACTATTACGGTTAAGGGAAGAGAAGCTCTAGAACAACTTAGCCACACGGTAGCTGCAGCTTTGGTGCTCCTCTTCCTCCTCTTGCTCCTTAGCTGTCCTGAAACTCACCTGCAGATCAAGCTGGCTCAAAACTGAAGGCAATCCTGACTCGTCCTCCCAGGTGCTGGGACTGCAGACAGAAGCGACTGAGCCCTGCTCCCAGGCTTGCTTTCTGAGCTGTCATTCTGTAGGCTTCCCTGGGGCTGGGCTCAGGAGTTAAGAGCTCAGTTCCAAGCACCTACATCAGGGCAGCTCAAAGCCAAAGGAATGTCAGTTCCAGGGATCCAGTACCTCTGGACTCCATTCCACATTTACACACACACACACACACAACACACTACACATAATTAAAAATAATGAAAATAAATTCTAAAGATAAAATTCAATTTACTTTAAAAATAAAATGCTTTAAATAAAAATTTTAAAAGAGAAGCTGGGCTTGGTGGGGCACTCCCTGCACTTGAGAGTCTGAGGCTGGAGGATTGCTGTAAGTCTGAGGTTGGCCTGGGCTACATGGTGAGTTCTAGGCCAGCTGAGGGCTACACAGTAAGACTCTGACTGAAAGCCAAACAGAACGGAACAGAACACAACAAAGCCTAGGAATGGTGGTGTGAGCCTATAATCCCAGGACCAGGGAGATAGAGGCAGAAGAAGTCCAAGGGCAGGCCTGAGCAGATCAGATGGTTTGAATGCATCATGGGCTACAGAGTTAAATAACCCTGTTTCAAAACAACAATCCTGATGGGTGTAGTGACACCTGTCTTTGATCCCAGCACTTGGAAGGCAGAGGCAGGCAAGTCTTTGTGAGATTGGGGACAGAATGGTCTACAGAGTAAGTTCCAGGACAGCCAGGACTACATAGTGAGGCCTTGCCTCAGAAACAAACAAACTCTAGAACAGAGAACAGAGCAGAAATGAACACGCTTCTGGGGGAGGGGTATCCCTTTAAAAGGCTGCTAGGGGAGAGTGTTCTGGAATCTCTGCTGCCTCACAGAGAACCATCCTCCCTTCCCCCAACCCTGTGGGCTCTCTGTCCCAGGGGACCAGGCTGTAAGTCATTTTCTGGGGTGTGTGTGTGTAGGCATAGAGTTGGGGAGGGCACTGGGCCAATGGAGCCACCTTCCTCGACTGAGGAAGGAAATGCCTGGAAGTTAGCCACTGAGCTGCTAGGCCCAAAGTGTGGGTGGGGGTGGGGACATTTGAAGAACTGAGTCTCTTGGGGGGGGGTCATAAGTTCTTTGGCAAGGCAGTTGAGGAAGAGACCAGTGGAATGGGGTGAGGGGTTATTGGGACATTTTTGTTTTGTTTGAGAGAGTCTCACATAGCTCAGACTGGCTTTGAATTCACTGCATAGTGAAAAATGACCTTGAACTTCTAATCCTACCCACTAAGTGCTGGGAAGACAGGTGTGCCCCACCACAACCGCTCTATACTATACTAGGGAACATGCCCAGAGCCTGTGCATGCTGGACAATCACTCTACTGCTAAGCTACATTCCTAGCTCCTGTTTTATTTTGTTTTGTTTTGTTTTGTTTGTTTTAGTTGAGATAGGGTCTGACACTGTAGTCTACCTGGCCTAGAACTCATTATATGGCCCAGGCCTGGCCTTGGGCTTTTGATCTCTTGCCTCAGCCTCTTTGAGGCTAGGATCCCAGGCAAGTGGCTGGTGTTGGGGACCTTGAGGTTGCCAGGCAGGAGTGCTTGGGGGCTGGAGTCCTTCTGACGTGGAAGAGCTTCCTCCCAATGAGAGGTGTGTGAGCCAGTCCTACTTGTGATGTCCTTGGCAGCTGCCTCCTTGGCATGGGGGTGAAGAAGAGCCTTCAGACTGGAGGCAATTTGCTTAACCTCTTGAGCAGCGTCCTCACAGTCCTCTCCACTAGCACCAACTACTGGATCCGACAGCAAGGGGGGCACAGTGGCCTGTGGCAGGAGTGTACCCATGGCGTCTGCTCCAACATCCCCTGCCAGAGTGAGACCTTCACCTGCCTCTGTGTCAGACACTCCAGAGCCCACCCCTACCCCCAGCTCCAGATGGCCCTTCCACCCCAGGCTCCGATCCAGCTGTCTTCTCCCCCAAGGCCGTCTCTCTCCAGACCGGTCGTGCTGCCCTCTCCCTACCACACCCTCCCGTTCCCATATGCACACCTGCTTCCAAAATGGAGCCAGATGAGCTCCAGACGTGTGTGGTGGGATGAGGGTGGCCAGAAGAGCCCAGGGATACTTTTCATGGCAGCAAGGTGTCTAGCTGATGCTACCCTGTCTCTCTAGACACCTTGGCAGTGACCGCAGCGTGCATGGTGTTGGCAGCAGCCTTCAGTATTGTAGCTTTGGGGATGGGGATAAGGATTCAGTGTCAAGAGGCCGAGTCCCTACGTAGCCAGAATACCATTGTCTTACTTTTTCTCAGCGGTGAGAAGGCAGTCACCCCCATGTAGGAGGGGTGGTGGTGGTGGTGGTGGCAATTCTGAAGGAGTTGGGCCGAGAGAGTTTAACTGGCATGGTTAAAATGGGAGGGGGAGGAGGGGGTAGCTGACAGATGCTCAGCAGAGGGAGCAGGAATGTCTGTGACTCTTCCGCCCGCTCTTACAGCTCTTTTCCATCCTATTGGGTTCTCTTGTCCACCCTCAATGTGCTTTTGCCTTGTTTGTCCTGTTTAACTGTCCTCTCTTGGAGACCTGCTCTTTTCTGAAGAAGAGGAGGAATGGGTCTTGGGGAAGGGGAGATGAGGGAAGCTGGGAGGAGTTGAGGAAGAGGAAACTGGTCGGGATATATTGTCTAAGGGAAGAATCTATTTTTAATAAAAAAGAAAAAGAAAAAAGGAAGGAAAAGAAGCTCAGAAAGGTGGAGCTAAAGGGAAGCTGGGCATAGTTTGATAAGTCAGAGACAAGGGCGGTTCTGAGGGATGGGCTTAGGTGCAAGCCCCTGCCTGGTCACACTCACCTGACGTGTGGGCGTGGCCCAGGGTTGCTGATGCTGATTGCTTTGACCGTATACACTGTAAAGAATGCCTGGAAGCCAGAAGTCTTCTTCTCCTGGTCCTACTTTTCCGGATGGTTGGCTTTACCCTTCTCGTTTATTGCGGG